GTCCTCAATGAAATTATCCAGAAGTACTTGTAGTCCTACGTCCGGCTCTTATAGGATAGTTAGAGGAGGATATTTTCCTGCCAGAGAGTTATTTATACTTTCTAATGAAAGTGTGGGGAGTGAGTTGGAGGGCGGGGTGAGGTGGGCTGCTTTTAACCATGTAAAGCACTTTGTGCTACATTTTTTTGTATGAAAAGTGCTTTATAAATAAAGATTGATTTGATTTGATTTTGGATTATTCAGCCTGAACAATTGTTTAATGTATTGATGTACATTTACTGTAAATTTACGGTGTATTACTATATTTACATTTTCAGTTTTGTGTTTTTTGTCTGTTTTATATAATAAATAACTATAAGGAACTCCTTTTTCAAAATAAAATTTAAATGCTTTTATTTTCAGGACCAGGGTATCTCAATGTATGTTTAAATAAAACAAACAAACAAAAAAAAGCCAGGACACATACGCACCTCATTTTGAACTGGGGCAAATCCAGCTTTACATTAAAAAAAATAAATAATACAATTAGTTGAATTTGACCTATTTTGACCGATTATATTTTCCTTGTTTTCCCATTATGTGCTGTTAGAACGGTGGATGTTACAAAGTTACAAAAATGATGATGTCAGTCTAAGTATGAGGCAAAAGCTCAGGTTTGACAGTTTTATTAAAATTCTTTGATGTCACAGTGTGGATGTGTTTATATGGAACTGGGTGGGTGGTGTGTGGGTGCACCAAGGCCCAGCTTAAGATGAACAAGATTATTTTGAATCATGCAAAGCTGCTTTAATAAAGTCTAAGAATAAAAATCTGGACACAGAGGTGAGGATAGAAAAAGATTCGTTTGGTTGGGCAGAGAAAAATTGCAGAGTTGTGTTCAAAAAGGATTTGAACTTTTGAGAGTTCAAAAGAAGCAATCAATGAAATGAAAGGAAAACATTTTAGATAAAATCAAAATCTCACTGTCGTAATCGATCCCTCCCCAGCCATGTGCTCCAGGATAACGGCTCAGACGCCGGTGCTGTTCGGGTGTCACGTGTTTGGCCCACTGCAAAACCGGAATACTTTCCAGAAATCGCTCTCCAAATTCAGTTTTCCCCACCCGACTTCGGATGCTGTCGGGACAGCCCTGTGTGGAGCAGACACCAACATAACTGTTATCAGACCTCATGCAGACACTCCTACCTCCAGACCTAAATGCAGTTACTGCACGTCCCTCACGATCATTACAAAGCCAACATCATTACTTTCACTCGGCAGGAAGTTCAACCTCAATATTGACCTCCTAATAAGAGTCTCACTGGGCGTAATTACCCGGTAATTACAGAGCGGAGAGAGAACAGGGCTAACGACAGGACAGATGCTGGAGGTTTCATCCAGCATGAGGCATGAAGTAACACACAGAGGCAGAC